TGGGCCTCCCTCCCACCCGGTGGTCATAAGCTAGAGCGTCCCCACATCCTTCCCTAAGACTTCTGAATTGCATCTAAAGAGAGAAGGCCCCTTCCTTCTTGGTTTAAAAATTAAATGAAAAAAAAGAAAAAAAGAAAGAAAAAGGGAATATGTGAAAGGAGATTCCAGCAGCCAGACCAGGTTAGCAATGACGAGCAGAGTCGGGACCAGCCCCTTGCTGTCTTCTGGCTCCCCCTGTGCTCCAGGCCAGTGCAGGTAGGTGCTGTGCCTGTCTGTGTCTCTCAGGCACCCCAGCCAAAGCTCGCCCTCACTTCTGTACCTCCATGAGGAACCTCTCTCCTAGGGCCACTTCCATCTGCTGAAATCTCTCCTGCTCCTTGAGTCCCTACATCTAAGAAGCCTTTTCAGAGCCTCAGGCTGGGAGCCCCAGCCTGGCCAATCTGATGGCCTGGCTCACATGACCTCCCCAGGATCCACCTTCTCCCGGCAGGACCCCAGGAAAAGGGATCTTGGCAGGAGCATCTGCCTCACCCCAAGCTGAAGGTGGAGGTGGCCGGCAGGTGGGTGTTGGGCTCTCACCTGTACAAGAGCCTGCCACGGTCCCGAGCGCTGATCTTCCCCCACAGTCCATTCTCAAAGGCATCCTTCGCCGCAGCCACTGCCTTGTCAACGTCGCTGACCTGGGCCAGGGACACCTGGCAGATGACCTGCAGCGGGAGCAGAGCCAGGACAGTCCTTCCTGGGCTCAGCATGCACAGAAACAGCCCTCCGCTTTCCTGGCCTCCTTCTGAGGCCCCACTGAGGCAAGAACCTCGGCCACACGGGCAGGCTCAGAGGGGAGGCTTGGCCAGCAGGAGGGTGCTGGGAAGGCGTGTGCACAAATGGAAGGCAGCAGCCTTGGAAAAGGTCTGTGTGTTTCTGCACAGCAGGGGCCGTCTCCACATGCCCACGGAGCCCACCCAGGGGCGAGCTTCGATTCAGCCTGCAGCTACAAGGCTGAGTGTTGTTCAAACCAATAGCAGAGACCCATCAGTTCATTGAGTGCAGCCAGAACGGTTTTACTTGAGTGAAATAGACTAGACATTGGAGGTGACTGGACCGTGCAGTGGCTGCCGGACCCACGCTGTCCCCCGCCCCTGCTCCTACCCTGAATGTGCCCATGTGCACTATAGTGTGGGCTCCTGCACCTCGGCCACCTGTGGGATATGTCCAGGGGCACCTGGCAGGGCCTGGGGTTGGGAGCCAGCCTCATCCACAGCCACTCTCCCGATACGCAGTCCTGAGGGCACCTCACCATCCTGTCTGTGTCCCTGCACCCTGTCCATCTCTTTGTAAACCATTCTTTCTTTAAATTCCCCTCAAATGACACATTTTGACTGTGTGATCTGTTTTCTGCAGGGACCCAAGTGATACTGTAGGATGGGATAGGACAGATTACCAGTATGTGCCCATACAGTAAGTCTTGCTTCATGAAACCCATGTTTCACGTGTGTGTGTATGTGCATGGACAACACGTGTGTACGGCTCATGCTGTAAGAGGGTCACATTCAAGAAAGTCTGGCAAACACAGGATTCAACTGAGGAAGAGTTTCCTGATGGTGGAGTGTTCAAATATTAGAAAAGGTGGGGCCCGTGCTGGGGTTATTGCAGATGTGGGGGACAACGGCCTCATTTCTTCCTTGGGGGGTTTAACTCTGTCCCCAGTCTCTGAAGCAGGCTCAACACCCCTCAGAGGCCTCCTGCCTCCCTCCCCCACCCCTCCCTACCTCTCTGCCCGCTACTCCAGTCCTACAGGACAGGCTGGAAACTGACTGGAGCCCTTTTGACTCCGTCTCAAAGATGCACGTCCAAGCAGAGGCCCCCGGGTGGCAGAAGGGGGAGGAGGTTGGGGGGAGCTAGTTGGGGTGGGGGACGCTGCACTCACGCTTCCATCTGTCGGGTTGATGGTGTCGTAGGTCTTGGCCCCCTCAGCGTCCACAAACGCCCCCCCAATGAAGAGCTGGTGGGGCATTTGGAGAGTTCGCTTGTTTGCCTCCTTTTCCACCTGGGAAGAAAGGCCTCAGCTGCAGTGTGGACTCTTCGCAGGCGGGCATCAGGGAGGAGTGCAGCCCCCGAGGACACAGGAGCTCACGCACGCAGGGGCAGAGGGGCTCTTCCATGGGCAGCGGTGGCCGCTGAGTGATAGGAACAGGTGGAGAGCGTGGACTCTGAGGCAGACCGCCTGGGTGGGAGCCCAGCTCTGCCACTTGCACAGCGCTCTAGCACATGGGATATGTCAGTGGGCAGACAGGCCCTTGTGCATGGACAGGCCCTTGTGCATGGACAGGCCCTTGTGCGCAGACAGGCCCTTGTGCGTGGACAGGCCCTCGTGCGCAGACAGGCCCTTGTGCGTGGACAGGCCCTCGTGCGCGGACAGGCCCTCGTGCATAGACAGGCCCTCGTGCATGGACAGGCCCTCGTGCGTGGACAGGCCCTCGTGCACAGACAGGCCCTTGTGCGTGGACAGGCCCTCGTGCATAGACAGGCCCTCGTGCGTGGACAGGCCCTTTTGGGCCACCAGACATGCCACCACCTGCCACTCACTTCCCTGCAGCTGACAATTCCACACTGAATGCCAGAGCCTCCGGGACACATACCCCTGCTGAATCTGTTCATGGGCCATTTGTCCACAACCCTGAGGCCAACCTGGGGCCCACCCTGGCCACCTGTACTCTCTTCGTCACCTTTTGTCTCCAACTACCAGCCAGACAAATCACTGCAAAGCTCATTCCTGTGAAAGCTGGTAGCCCACCAAGATTCCCCAGGGAAGATTTCTCAAGAGTTTCTTTAAAAAATAGATTTGTGATTACTTATCACACTTCCAATATGTACAATTGAATGTACAGGGTCACTTGTTTTCCATACTGGGAACTAAATGTCTCTTCTTAATGTCCTGCTCTCATTTCCAGGACTCAGAATTTGAGCCATACACTGAGCATTTGACAGCAATATCCTCTGCTGTCCCCAGCCTGTCCAGGGATGCCAGGGAGAGCCTGAGAAACAGAAGGGTGGGCTCGTGGGGGTCCTGGCTTCCAGAGTCCTGGGGGATCCATGGACGCCAATGCCTGCGGGTCTGCAGGGCTGTGCCCATGTGGGGGCCCAGGACTCACGTAGTCAATGATGCTCTCAGTCTCTTCATCCTCCCCTCGCAGCTTCCTCACCAACAGTTGGATGAAGTCCCAGAAGGTGGTTGCCAGGTAAACATCTTCGTTTTCTAGCTCCAGGCCATCGCACAGCTCCTTCACTTCCTCCACCAGTCTGGAGGAAGGAGATGGAAAAACGGGAAGCATGGAAGAAGCTTGGAAGACCTGCTTCTTTCCAGTGGCAGAGGTGGTGGTGCCGGCGCATGCACCAAAGGGGCCCAACACCCTAAGTGTGGCCATCAGCCCATTCGAGGGCTCAGTCCATCACTTACTAATTTGTGAGCTTGGGCAGGTGACGAACTCCTCCAAGCCCAAGTTTCTTCATCTGTAAGACAGAGACAATGATAGGTCCTCACTACTTTGTGATGAGTAAATGAGATAACTCACCTATTAACAATAATAATGAATGGGAGACTAATAACAGTCTTGGAAAGACACTCAGAAGGATGAAAAGACAAGCCACAGATTGGGAGCAAATATTTCCAAATCACATACCTGATAAGTGACTTGGATGCAGAATATAATAAGAACTCAAAACAATACTAAGAAAGCAAGCAACCCAATTAAAAACAGGCAGAAGATTGAACAGATACTTCACCAAAGAGGAAGTATGGATGGCAAAAAAAAAGAATATGACAAGATGCACAACATTGTCAGTCATTAGGGAAATACAAATGAAAACCTCGGTGTGGTACAGCTACCTTCTTATTAGATGTCTGGAATTAAAAAGGCCGACCAAAGGCGGACAGCAACCGAGCAACGGGAACTCTCACGCACTGCTGGTGGGGTGTAAACGGTGCGAGCACTCTGGGAAGCAGCAGGCAGCTTCTTACAAGTCGAACACATACTTCCCATTTTACTCTTAGGTATTCACCCAAGAGAAATAAAAGCCTGTGTCTAGAAAGAAGGTGGCAGAGTAGGACGTTCCAGAAATCCATCCCTGCACTTCGACAGCTATTGAACTGACAAGAACTGTCTGAATCTTGGAACCCTAGGGTCTAGTCAAATGCTCGCAGGACCCAGGAGAAAGCTTGATGAAGAGGCTGGTAAATGTCAGTGAATTTCAACCTTTCCTGAGGTGTTGGCTGTCATTCCCCGCCTCCCATCCCTGCAGCAGGAAGGTAGGGGTGGAGGGAACAGGGCACTGGGCCATATTCCTGGTGCAGCTTGCTGAAGCCAGGGTGGGCAATAAAGACTTTGTCCTCCAAATATCAGGGTTGTATTCTGAGCACTGATGATGCTTGTGATGGCAGAGAGATTGGCACAAAGGCTCGCATGAAGCCATTGATTCAACCCCACAGGCTGAAGTAGTTTCCAGGAGGTTAAAGAGGCAACACTTTCCCCCAACCCCTTTTTGGACCCAGACACTTATGGAAATCTTTGTCAGGTCACTACTGGCTGAATGCACAAACAGTGGGACAGAAACTTCAGTGACCACACACAACAAGGACACACACCTGGCAAAAATAGTTTGAAAAAGTCACAAACAGATGGCTTCAGCCCTCAGTAAGTAAGACTCAGCAATCCTGGAGGAATGGGAGAACTAAGATTTCCAGAATAACCACAACATAACATTTGAAATGTCCAGTTCTGAATGAAAAAGTTGCAAAACAGATGAGGAAATGGGAAAGTAGAGCCTGTTTGTAGGAAAAAAGTACGTGAAAGAAGGTATGCCTGAGGAAGACCAGATATTGGAATTATTAATCAAAGATGTTAAGTCAGCTGTCTTAAATATGCTCAATCAGCTAAGGGAACCATGGACCAAGAACTAAAAATCAGGAACTGATGTATGAGAATATCAGTAAAAAGAGATTACAATAAGAAACCAAACAGAAATTCCTGAGTTGGTAAGTATGACAACTGAAACAAAAAACTCACTACAGGGGTTCAACAGCAGATCTGAGCAGCAGAAGAAAGGATCAGCAAACTTGAAATTATTCAGTCTGAGGAGCATAAAGAAAAAATAATGAAGAAAAATGAATAGAATCTGTGGGACCTGTGGGATACCATGAAACATACCAATATGCTCATTATAGAAGTTCCAGAGGGCCAGCCCGGTGGCACACTCGGTAGAGTGCGGTGCTTGGGAGCATGGCGGTGCTCCTGCCGAGGGTTCGGATCCCATATAGAGACCGGTTCCCGCTCACTGGTTGAGTGTGGTGCGGTTGCGACACCAAGGGTTGTGATCCTGTTGCCGGTTGCGGTACGGGCGCGACACTGAGGGTTGCGATCCCGTTACC